AAACGTCGCTCCGTTGGACCCCAAGCGGCCCCAATTCACAGACCCGCAGCGATGGCGAGCTCCCACTCAGATCTGCATAAAACGTCACCCTGTGAGACCTACCAGTAACCCATGACATATGGACTACAATTGCGCAACTCGCAACCCCCCAGCGAAGGCGAGTATCCGCTCTGATCTGTCGCCCCGCTGGACCCGCTAGAAACCTCCGACATTGGCCGCGAATGCGCACTTCGTAGCCTCCCAACGAAAGCGAAGTCCCGCTCTGGTCTGAGAACGGCGTCGCCCCGCTGGACCTACCTGCAGCACTCGAAAATGGCGACAACTTCGAATTCCGCAGCCCCCCCCCCCCCAGCGACGGCGAGGTCCTGCTTTGACCCGCGCAAGACGTCACTCCGCTGGAGCCCCTAGCAGCCCTCGAAAGTGGCTTCCGTTGAACAGTTCGCGGCGCACCAACGACGGCGAGGTCCCTCTCTGATCTGAATGAAGCGTCAGTCGGCTGGACCCCCAGTGTGGAACTCGAAAGTGGCGACAACTTCGCATTCCGCAGCCCCCCCCCCAGCGACGGATGGGTCCCGCTTTGGTATGCTTAACACGTCACTCCGCTGAACCCCCCTGCAACACTAGTAGAAGGTGGCCTCACTTGAACGGTTCGCAACCCCCGAGCGATGGCGAGGTCCCGCCCTGACCTGCGTAAGACGTGAAACCCTCGAAATGGCAGCAGTTTCGCAGTTCGCAGCGCCGTAGCGCGCTCTCGCACTGGACTGGGTAAGACGTCGCCCCCGCTGGACACCCCATCAGCGCTCGATCGCGGTGGCAGTTTCGCTGTTCGCACTCCCCAGCGACGGCGAGGTGCCAATGCACAAGTAACCTCAGTCAGAATTCAAGAACGCCCCCCCCGTTATCGGTAACACCGAGCAACAACAAAAATCCAGGGGGCGAATTCAGCCGAACGATGTCTGCAGCATCGTGCCAAACAACACACAATCCCCTTCCCAGGCTTGCTTTCAATATCTAGCTTTCGCTTCAGCGTCGCGCACACTCGATCCAAAAATTGCGCGGGTTTCACAGACTGACGGGGGCTCGTTTTCAGAATGTGGCTCTCGCCTCTGCGCCGCGCGCACTCGTTTTTGAACATGTGCACAAACTTCAAAGATTGAAGGCGGCTCGTTCTCAAAATCCAGCTCTCGCCCTGCGCCGCGACATTCGCTATAGAAACGAACCCTCCGACCCCGCCCGAACGGAATCGTAGTGCAATGCCCAATTACAGGGCAGTTTTTAATACATGGGATTGTTAAAACCTATGGGGTTTTTACACGATAGTGTATGAATGAATATATGCGTGAACTCTTGTGTTTCCCAACCATCATGTGGTGTTGGGTCCTCGTTTTGACGAGACGTCGCCCCGCGTTCCTTCTCTCCTCTCCTCTCCTCCTCCCTCCTCCCCCCTCCCTACGTTTCACCCATCCAGTACAGCTTCGTGGCCCCATAGGGAGCTCCACCGAAGGCCCCAGTGGCAGCGTTCGCATGGTAGCCCGCCCCATTTTGGCGCACCCCTCACACGGTTCGTGGCCCCATAGGGAGCTACACCGAAGGCCCCAATTGCAGCGTTCGCACGGCGGCGCCGCCCCATTTTGGCGCACCCCTCGCACGGCTCGTGGCCCCATAGGGAACTCCACCGAAGGCCCCAGTGGCAGCTATCGCATGGCGGCCCCGCCCCATTTTGGCGTACCCCTCGCGCGGTTCGCGGCCCCATAGGGAGCTCCACCGAAGGCCCCAATTGCAGCGTTCGCACGGCGGCGCCGCCCCATTTTGGCGCACCCCTCGCACGGCTCGTGGCCCCCAGGGAGCTCCACCGACGGCCCCAGTGGCAGCTATCGCATGGCGGCCGGGCCCCATTTTGGCGCACCCCTCGCACAGTTCGTGGCCCCATCGGGAGCTCCGCCGAAGGCCCCAATGGCAGCGTTCGCATGGCGGCCGGGCCCCATTTTGGCGCACCCCTCACGCGGTTCGTGCCCCCATAGGGAGCTCCACCGAAGGCCCCAATGGCAGCGTTCGCATGGCGGCCTCGGGCCATTTCGGCAAACCCCTCACGCGGTTCGTGGCCCTGTAGGGTGCTCCGCCGAAGGCCCCAGTGGCAGCGTTCGCATGGCGGCCTCGGGCCATTTCGGCAAACCCCCCGCGAGGATCGTGGCCCCATAGGGAGCTCCACCGAAGGCCCCAGTGGCAGGGTTCGCATGGCGGCCCCGGGGCACTGCGGCACATCCCTCACGAGGATCGTGGCCCCATAGTTGTGCTGCTTCAACAACCGCGCCTGGGCGTCGTACTCCGCCTTGTCGACGTGCAACGCCACCTCTTCCCTCATGGCTCTCAAGGCCTTCTCCTGCTTCTGCTCCTCGGTGAGAGGGACGCCGCCCTTGTCGTCGTCGGCGCCCGCGAAGACGGCCACGAACGTGTCCCTGAGCATGTCGGGCTCCGGCGGGAAGCCGTGGCCACATAGGTATTCACAATTGCGGTATTCACAACTGCATATGGTTGGGTCCTTCGCCAGGCTAATTAGTACTAGTTCCTTGCATTTTGAAGACATGATCCGCACGCGGCGCATGTATTAAAAATGGCACTGCGATGAGATATTGACTTTCGTTGCCTGTCTTGGGGGGTGGGTCCGTTCGAGGATAACGCCCCCGCCCCGCTCGGAACGATACCTGTCGCACCACGGAACGGCGATAATGAATATTTCCCGCCCACCGAAAACTCTTGCACATGCTTCAAAACCAATGTTCGCGGCGCTGAAGCGAGAAACACGTCATCTTCCAGGTGCCGGAATAACGCTTCCAGGTGCGGGAAGCGTTATCCTGTTGCCGTAAGGGGGGGCTCGTGAATACTGATTGAGGTAAGGGGGAGAGAGAGGCGAGAAAGAGAAGGGTGAGAAGGTGGGGGCCGCAAGGCTCTGTTCAAAACAAGAGCCCAAGGCAAAAGGGTTTGGGGAAAGAGCGCCGAAGGCAAACAGGTAGAACAAGTACTTGTTCACCCGGGTCAAAGATCTCAGGAAGAGTTTGCCTCTACACGTACAGGCTCTACGTGTTTGCCTGGAGGCCGCACCGTACCCGCTTACCCAGGGCATGTATGGCGGCTGGATAGCCGAAGCCATGCCTGGCTGGTGCCCTCGGGGCCCTTACACCCCTGCAAGGACGGCGGCCTGGGTATGCAGGTGCTGGCCGCATCCCGCCATCAGTCATCAACGATGGTCGCCAGGAGAAAATTGGAGGGAAAAACGGGAGGGAGGAACATAATCAACAAGGCAACGGAAGACTGGACGACGAAGGCTGGCGGGAAGATGGAGGAGTGACGGGTGAGGAAGACGAACTCTGACCCCCTCAGGCCGCGTGGAAGCGCATCAGCGAAGATCTTCGCCCGTCGCTTCCTATGTTTCAGATCGTCCAATACAAATCGCTTCCAGAAAACCTAAAAACCGCAACAATCCCCAGTGCAGCAGAACCGCCATAGGCGAGGCCCTCGTGCGCCCCAGAACTGCCCGATGACCCACACTGCGAAATGAATGGGCCCCAGGACGGCCCCAATTATGCGGGCAGTACTTATATCCATATACAGAGCGTCTTGGACTTTTCGGGAAGAGGTGCCGCAACGCCGAGGCGCACTGGATATGGATAAAATCAAGCCTCTTGGGGCCAGATTTCTGTCCATATCCAGTGCGTCTACGGTTTCTGGGGAAGAGAGCCTAAACTTCCAAGGCGCACTGGATGTGGATATAACTATCGCCCGCAACTTACCAGCTCAAACGACCCCAAACAGACTCAAGAGAGCCACTGCGCCCGCGACGGTCCGCAAACCCCCAGCGTGCCCCGAAGCAGACCCACGGCAAGACCTCAATGGGGCCCCGACGAAACCCCTTCCCGCGTGGACTTACCTGGAGAGGGGGGAAGAGGGGGGAGGAGAAGGACAAGGAGGAGGTGCGATGTAGGAACGCTAATGCAGAGATGTGAGCCAAGAGGGAACGGCCAAAACCCACGCCAAATCAACTTGCACACTATGCCGAAACACGGGTTCGGGTTCATCACAATTCATGCTTCGCTGCTGTGCTGATGCGGTGGCGGGGCTTGCCGTGGCGAACTGCATCATTTCGCGACGCGTGCAAATATCGCCTGTGTGGTGCCACCCGTGGTTGCCGCCGCGATGCGTGTCTGCTTTGGTTGGTTCGCTGGCTTGCTACATGTTGGGCATAATGCGGCATGCGAAACAAGCGCGCCTGCTCAAAACCTGGTTTCTACGGCCGGTTCTGGCAAGCAATTATCTTCAGCGCAGTGCTTGACAAAAAGCGCGCGATGACTTCATGAATCGCTCGCGCAATTACAAATAGATGAACTGGTCCATCGAAAACATGACGAACAACTCACTACTGCGCACTCGCAATTTGCCGACTCGGCTCTGGGCGAAACAAGGCCATGGCAACAATAACCAAACATAACGACCACTTCCGCTATCGGACCTCGGTCCCAAAATGCAAGCAAACGCGGGAGGTAAATGAGAAACATCGTAAACGAAGTATTGCCGCATGGTCGAGATGATCTGGCATGCCGCGCGTAACGCCCCACGAGCACTGTAACACGGGAGCATCGTCTTGGTTCCCGCTGCAAGGCTGCAACAACCATTGGTGTAAACAGCTTCTGTTGGACGACAGACCACCCTCGAGGAGTCCGCTCTGCGGTTGCTTAGGCTGCTCAAATCTGCCCTCCAACCTAAGAGATCCTCGAAGAAGCCTCCAATGTACCTTCAAAGTGGTGGGACGGAAGAGAGGGACGAGGAGAAACATAAGGACAGAAAGCCAGCGATGATGATAACCATGCTACGGACGAGGAGGGGATTTCTAGAGCCGCATCACTTCAAACAGAGCACTGAACAGGATGGAGTCGTAACCTAAACCTCCTTCCCGCTGCGCTGGCACACTGGCGGGGTTTGCCGCAGGCAGCTTGATGTTCAAGAGCCCGAAGTAGGCCACGAACACGAACGTGGCGACGACCAATGCCTGGATGAACCCGTGGTTCATGCGCAAATCATATATGAAATCGGCAACGCCATCATGGGCGATACCGTGGGTGATAAGTGTCGCGACTGTTTGACCCACGGACCCGAAGTACTTGTCCCTCAGAACAGGGTCAGTGGTTGCCGTGGTGAGCAGCACGCTATAGGTGTACAGAAGGACGGCGATGAGCAACCAAATTACAGCTGCCGAGCGCATTCCGCTGAACAGTCCCCTCAAAACGATCGCGGCGTCTTTAGATTTGCGTGTAAGCTTGACCAACCTAGCCAACTTTATTAATCGCAAACTCTGCAAGGCAGGCGTTGGGATTCCCGTCCAGGGGACCACCAACACCTCTAGCATTATCGTAATAGTACACACTGCATCAACGCGCAAATCCGGATTACGATACCATTTCCACTTGTATTTCATGCTGGTGATTTCGACAATGAGCTCTGCCAGAAAATACACCATGAAAATACATTCTACAGTAGGGGACAACCAGTGCCGATCCGGGTGAAACAAATGCTTGCCATCGCGATCGAACAAATCCGCGCTGATCCCAATCCAAACGACGTTCAACAACATGACGAACAGCGAAACCGTGGCATAAACTGTGCTCCTGACGATCCGGCTACAAACGTTGTCCGCCTTTTCGAAGAACGATCCGGAACGTTCGCTCGTACGAGAGTGGACGTTGATGCCTGTACGTCGCAAAAGCGAACTTTGGCGCATTCCGTACATCTTCACAGATTCCCCGCGCGGCTCGCCCCATAAAACCGATCTCGCGACGGCCTTTGCATGGCGCGTTAGCTCGACCTGCCAGCTCTTCCGACCTAGCCGGCGCAGCTTGCGGAGATTGCGAGACTTGGGGTCCAGTTGCGCCGTGTCGACAAAGAAGATTTCCATCGGCACCTGGCCCCCCTTGCCGCTTTTGACGCGCACCTTGGAGTAGCCACGGCGGTATGCATCCTCGATGCGCGCGTTGACTGCGGGAGCGTAGCTGCAGAAGTTGCCCTTGGCGCGCTGCCACTGCCACACGTACTGGCCGCGGCCGAGCTCCCTTCCCTGCTGGTCCTCTGATGGCGACCCGAACTCATCCGCGTCGAACTCATGCGCGTCCGCGAATTTCGGAATGCACTCTGATGGCCGGGAAGAGGCTGCATTTTCGTCTTCTTGTTTGTCATTCTCCTCCTGCTCCTCCTCAGCCTTCTCCTCCTTGCTGATCATCAGCGACTTCGCGCCTCCCCAAGCAGGTGGTGCGGACGACGACGCATGCACAGAGCATACGTTCCTGGCCGGCGCCTCGTCCAGATCGATGTCGTCATCAGCCGCCTCTTGGCGAACGTCAAGCTCTCTGGGCTCTTCGGGCGCGGTGACCTCGCAAACGCTAGAATCCTCTGGGGGAACCAGAAGATGCCGGTACTGCTACTCCCCGGACCTCTCCTGGAGTGCGTTCTGACCAGAATTTCGAGGCGAATCCAGCGGTGGCGACGAGGGCCTCCCCGGAAGCCCAAAAAAGAGAAAACGAGGGAAAGGTAGCAGTATTACCTTTTACCTCTCTGGTCCTCGCGTTGAATGTTGCCAAACCCGTCTCTCTGGCCGCAGATATCGTCCTCCAGGGCTGCTGCATCGCCTCGCTGGAGCCTCAGCCTCGAAATCGTCCTCTCGAGGTAGGCCACCTCTCGGCTACTCCGAGGGGCGTGGTTTGCAAAGGGGGAGGAAAAAGGAGGAGGAGGAGGAGGAGGAGGAGGAGGAGGAGGAGGAGGAGGAGGAGGAGGTGTGGTTTGCAACTCGAGCCTGGGGTGGGGGAGGGCGGGCGAAACTCTCGACAGAGATCTCTGCCGTGCCCGGACGAGGGCTCAGCAAACTTTTGGAGC